AAAAATCATGGGAGACCTTATTAATATCGCGATGTTAGGTGTATAAAAAGCGACTAGGGTTGAGGACGACTATCTTTACTTTTGGTTTAGTCTATTTTTGCTTAATTTCGTAAATTATGGAAACTTGCTAGGAAGATGTATTTCACAGTAAAGACGAAAGCTCAGCACAGTTTCATCGGGGTCGGAGAACGGTGAGCCAAGGACTTCTTTGCATAATTCAACAGTTTTCCCTACGCTGCAATCCTCCTTCAGTTTCCGGTGAGACCACATCATAATTTCCTTCCAACCAATTCTCCCTTTGAAATAGAGAGTCATGCCACAAAAAATATTAGAGCAATACAGTAGTACGAAGAAGTACCAACCGAAAAATTGATGTATTGGTGTCTGTACGTCCACGTCCTGCAAGTGCTCCATTGTAAATGCACTGTAAAGTCGGATGACTGGCTCACCACGGATTGCAATCCAGACGCCATCTCGATGAGGCACCATCGTTCGCACTTGGGCGTCAGGATTGGGATGCACCTCGATACTATATAAAATGTTAAGGAAAAGTAGAAAATTTGAACTGAATTATGGTACATTTGAAAGGTCGCAGCGTTTGAGAATACTTTGTTCCCATATCACAAACCGACTTTTCTTTACCGTATAGTTCAATGAACAAAAATGAATGTCTAAATATCATAATTCATATAAGTGACTAAATATACCCAAGGAAAAGATGGCATCGCAACTGAAAGAGTATGCTATAACCTGACTGCACGTTGACGAGTTATGCCTCGGGCCCTGTCCTGAAAACTGAGGGAAAAATAATACTAAACAATGTGGTGTTAAAGTTGAATAGTTATCAGGAGAATAGAGCAAATTGGTTGTTTAGGTGTTCGCGATAAAGGTTAACGGGTAGGAGGGAAGGAAAAGAAGGAGCTGGAGTGGGACAACCAAAATAGTTAGATAGACTTGTGTAGCCGAGGGTGGATATATGACAATTATTTGAAAGTCGGCACTGCCGAGCAAGTTTAATCTTGTAGATATGGACGCAGCAAAATAGTGATTAGGAGACTTTGCCTTGAATTTAGACGATGGCTAATCGCGGACCTCTTTACGCGGAGGTTCGACCGACTTGTAACATCGTAGATGCATATGGTCGAAGAAGCGGCGTATGAGATTGAGGTACACATCAGAAGAGGCATGTGAAGGAGTGCGCGTTTGAATTTCGAGTGTCTAGACAGACTATACAACTCTGTGAAACTGAGAGGTTAGAAAGGTCCAGAACTGATGTCCAAGAGGCGGATCAATGCAGTGGTGAGATTTAATTGACAAATGCGAAAAAAGAGTGCGGAGGAGTCATATTCACAAGTAGTCTGTCTTACATGATTGTTGGGAGATGGTTGTGCATTCGATGTAAAAAAACTAACCCTACTTTAATACGAATATAAAAAACTAACAGTTGTAGAAAGAAATAATAGCAATCGGTCACTATAAGTATGATATACTTCAAGTAATTACGAATTACCCAGCCTCTAGCACACAGCATATAAGTTTGATAAGCTTCTTAAAAATGAAATAGAATAGCATAAGTAAAGTCTTGCTTAATTACCAAAACTGAAGCATTAGCTAAGTGAGTGGCAGGGCTATGCAGACGATAGGAGGAAACAACAAGTGTTATGGCAATTCTAACATCGTGATATGAATAATTTGCCGTTTAAATGGATGCATATTAAAACTAAAATCAGAGAACAATTATGTCTCTTTTCTCACTTGTTGACCAGGCAGAGACTGGCGGCGTCAATAGCTAAAACCTGGTTACCACTAGCGGCCCAGATGAGACCGAAATTGGCTAGTGCAACAATCTCCCGGACCGCCTGTTCAGCGTTCAGACCGTCTCCATTGCAACAAGAGATAACCGCCGCTTCAGATAGGTCCCATTCACCCGGCTCATGCTCCCTCAAGTCGAAGTAGTTATGTGAGGTAGCTAGACTGTCAATATTGTCGAGTTTAGTGATATTGCAATCAATATCCGGTCGGCTCGAGAATCTCTCTTCTGAATGGAAGACATTTGCCGAGGGTCCGGACAATCGCTCTCTAAGGTCGTCGTGATTGGAAAGATGGGTTTGATCATCTAGGACACAGAAATGTATAAAAATAATTACGCCAATGGTATCCTAATCACAAGTCTTTCGGTTAGTCTGATTCAAGGACCCGCAATTAATTGGGTAGACAAGATAGATAAACAAAGGGATGAACATAAATAGATAGAGATTGATGTAGAATATTTAAAAAGATCTTTCAAAGTATTAAAAATATGGTTCAAAATACTCCAAATGTGGTTAGGACAATTAAATATAATATGCGCAAGGAAATACATGAAATTATGGAAGAAAAATCCTCACAGTATGCATGCGCATTAAGTAGAAAACACTCAAGACCTACTAAAAATTAATTTGCATAATTTTTAGTTGAATATATCGAATTGAGAATGTAAACTAGTTGTTTCGATAGCCATGCTGGAGATTACATAAAGTTTAGATTTAAAATGTAGCTTAATCGAAGTGTAAAGATTAAGATGGTGTCTTGCTGCTCATGAATGCTTTTTGCATGGATGAAAGCCTTGGCTACTAGGGTGGTGCAAGCTCTATTATAGTTATCAGTTTTCAATTAATGCTTATGACCTTATAAAGGGAAAATAGCATGGTTGTGATCTAATAATGTAAAATTTTTATATGGCTTATTCGTATTGTATAATCTGCCGAAGCAGTACAGGACACTTGTAATGCAGTCACGATTATGATGCAGGAATAAGAGTAAATCAACTCTATAAAGTAAAAGAAGATATGGGCAAACCAGAAGGCACAGCATTGTGCTCTTCCCATATGTTTGGCTATATTGGATTCGAGCTAATTTTCTTCGTAAAAGCTTAGCGAATCGATAGTTATAATTACAGATTCGTCACAACTCTCTACTATCTCGAGTTTCAACGTCACCCCTCTATTCCCTAGGGAGGAGGGAACCAAAGCTTTAGAGTAATTGCAATTCAGGATGTCTAACCTAGTATTGATAAAAATATCTTGGTAAATAAGCAGTTTCGATAATACCAGTAAATCAGTTATGAGATGTATTCACCCTATTTCATTTAAGGTGATCACAAAATAAAATATCAAGTTGCTATTCTAGAATGGTAAACTGATGCCGATACGTCCATGTAATTTTATCTGGTCAGTATCAGTATTTAAAAGTCATCTGAATTATCCAAAAATGCACTTCAATAAACGCTTAAGGTAAGCTTAATTTAGATTAAGTGAAAATACATGACTAACAATCCTTAGGAGTCGAGTGAGGAATAAAGACAGTAAAATGAATGTGCGGCATTAGAAAGATCGTACCTCTGTGGTCGGGATAGAACGAATTCTGAAGGATGCTAGAAGGTTGATGTGAAAGACTGACGTGACGGCGGAAGACAAAAATCTTACCATCAGCCAGTCCGACGAAAACCCGACCCCGTTCGTGGCTGGATTTGTAATAATATGGATGGGAATAAAGTAGGTAGACGATGTAAAGAGAAAAAATATGGATAAACGGAAAGTCTAATTCTAAATGCTAAACTTGATATAAGCTGGCAGTAGTAAATTTATAAAAGAATGATAAAATGAGGGAGTTAGACAAGAGCAAACAGTAGAGAATATTTAGAAATACAAAATAATTAGTCAATGGAAAATCTTCATAATCGCTAATATGGAGTTAGAATTAAAGAGTGGTTTAAGATAACAATATTGACAAACTTTTTAGATTGAAACAAAATAACAAAAGCTTTTGCTTTATAAACCGCGGATTTATCTAAATTCATGCTATTGCGAAGTGGGAGTGATAAAACCTGGGTAGATAGTAATCTGAAAACGCAATGTTATGATCAAATGATGTTGGATTATCTTTCATTTCGTTTGAAGAGGAAAGTGGAAGGGATTTGCAAGTTGGTCTCATCGGAAGATGTGGGGAGATTGCCTTGGAGCTGTGTTTACAGAAGGCATGCTTTCGTGTTTTTGGTGAATTACCGTTAAGCATGGTGTCCTGTCCTGACGATGCTCGTTACATGATGGACGAAAGCTCAACAAGGATTCATCGGGGGTGCAGGGCGATGTGCCGAGGACCTATTCACACAAATCTACAATCACAACTCAAAGGCAATGCCCCTACAGCTTCCGATGAGACCAACGTACGAATCCTTCCACTCGCCTCTTCAAATAAAATGAAAGGTACTCCAACATCATAATATTAGGAGATTCTTCGAAACCCAAT